CGCCAGTATAGGAGCGCAAAGAGGCAGATGATGCACACACATCTCTGTGGTATCTGACAGTCGTTTGAGGAAACAACCTTAATGTTTCAAGACGGGGCTGATGCCACGAGCGTGCTCGATTCGTCCATGCATGACCTATCCTGTTCTTTGTGCGTGAGTCTCTTGCCCAGTCGTCGATCTGTTTCTGGCCCCAGTCTTGCATGTGACCACCTCGAACACAGGTCCATCCCAGATCGGTTCATGCCAGTGCAGATCGTCGAGGCACGCTCGGGCCGTGTCGAGCAGATCCCGGGCCCACCTTGCATTCTCGTGCGAAGTCGGGGTCCCAATTCTGCGCGCCACAGACTCCAGGACGTGTTGCAAAGCAGCCTTCTCCTGGCTTCTCTTCTGTCTAACCTGTGTGTGCATGCATGCCAGGCTCTCTAGTGTCGTGGCGCCAGTATCGGAGCGCAAAGAGGCAGATGATGCACACACATCTCTGTGGTATCTGACAGTCGTTTGAAGAAACAACCTTCATGTTTCAAGACGGGGCTGATGCCATGAGTTTGCTCGATTCGCTCCAATGCATGATCTGCCCTGCTTTTTGTGCGTGAGTCTCTTGCCTTGCAGTTTATCTTCTTCTGGCCCGCGTCTGGATACAGTCTTGCATGTGACCATCTCGAACACAGGTTCATCCCAGGTCGGTTCATGCCTGCGCAGACCGTCGAGGCCCGCTTTGGCCATCGCGAGCAGACCGTGGGCCCACCTTGCATTCTCGTGCGAGGTCTGGGTCCCAATTCTGCGCGCCACAGAGACTCCAGGACGTGTTGCAAAGCAGCCTTGTCCTGGCCTCTTTTGTGTCTAACTCCTGGCTGCAGTGTCGTGGCGCGAGTGTAGGAGCGCAAAGCGGCAGATGATGCACACACATCTCTGTGGTATCTGACAGTCGCGTGAGGAAGCAAGCCTTAATGTTTCAAGACGGGGCTGATGCCATGAGTATGCTCGATTCGCCCATGCCTGACCTGTCCTGCTTTTTGTGCGTGAGTCACTTGCCCTGCAGTCTATTTCTCCTGGCCCGCGTCTGGATACAGTCTTGCATGCGACCATCTGGAACACAGGTCCATCCCAGATCGATTCATGCCGGTGCAGACCGTCGAGGCACGCTTTGGCCGACGCGAGCAGACCGTGGGCCCACCTTGCATTCTCGTGCGAGGTCGGGTTTCCAATTTTGCGCGCCACAGAGACTCCAGGACGTGTTGCGAAGCAGCCCTGTGGCTTCTCTTCTGTCTGACCTCTGGGTGTATGCATGCCAGGCTCTCTAGTGTCGTGGCGCCAGCGTAGGAGCGCATCGAGGCTGATCATGCACACACATCTCTGTGGTATCTGACAGTCGCTTGAGGAAACAAACTAAATGTTTCAAGACGGGGCTGATGCCATGAGTGTGTTCGATTCGCCCATGTAGGACCTGTCCTGTCCTTTGTGCGTGAGTCTCTTGCCCAGCAGTCGATCTCCTTCTGGCCCCAGTCTTGCATGTGACCACCTCGAACACAGGTTCATCCCAGTTCGGTTCATGCCTATGCAGACAGTCGAGGAACGCTTGGGCCGTCGCGAGCAGACCCCGGGCCCACCTTGCATTCTCGTGCGAGGTCTGCGTCTCAATTTTGCGCGCCACAGAGACTCCAGGACGTATTGCAAAGCAGCCCTCTGGCTTCTCTTCTGTCGAACCTCTTTGTGCATGCATGCCAGGCTCTCTAGTGTCGTAGCGGCCGTGTAGGAGCGCAGAGCGGCAGATGATGCACACACATCTCTGTGGTATCTGACAGTCGCTTGAGGAAACCAACCTTAATGTTTCAAGACGGGGCTGATGCCATGAGTGTGCTCGATAGGTCGACGCACGGCCTGTTCTGCTTTCTGTGCGCGAGTCCCTTGCCCAGCAGTCGATCTGTTTCTGGCCCGCGTCTGGATACAGTTCAGCATGTGACCACCTCGAACACAGGTCCATCCCAGATCGGTTCATGCCGGTGCAGACCGTCGAGGCACGCTTGGGCCGACGCGAGCAGACCCCGGGCCCACCTTGCATTCTCGTGCGAGGTCTGGGTCCCAATTCTGCGCGCCACAGAGACTCCAGGACGTGTTGCAAAGCAGCCTTGTCCTGGCTTCTTTTGTGTCTAACTCCTGGCTGCAGTGTCGTTGCGCCAGTGTAGGAGCGCAAAGCGGCAGATGATGCACACACATCTCTGTGGTATCTGACAGCCGCTTGAGGAAACAACCTTAATGTTTCAATACGGGGCTGATACCATGAGTGTGCTCGATACGTCGACGCATGGCCTGTCCTGCTTTCTGTGCGTGAGTCCCTTGCCCAGCAGTCGATCTGTTTCTGGCCCGCGTCTGGATACAGTTCAGCATGTGACCACCTCGAACACAGGTCCATCCCATGTCGGTTCATGCCGGTGCAGACCGTCGAGGCACGCTTGGGCCGACGCGAGCAGACCCCGGGCCCACCTTGCATTCTCGTGCGAGGTCTGGGTCCCAATTCTGCGCGCCACAGAGACTCCAGGACGTGTTGCAAAGCAGCCTTGTCCTGGCTTCTTTTGTGTCTAACTCCTGGCTGCAGTGTCGTGGCGCCAGTGTAGGAGCGCAAAGCGGCAGATGATGCACACACATCTCTGTGGTATCTGACAGCCGCTTGAGGAAACAACCTTAATGTTTCAAGACGGGGCTGATGCCATGAGTGTGCTCGATAGGTCAACGCATGGCCTGTCCTGCTTTCTGTGCGTGAGTCTCTTGCCCAGCAGTCGATCTGTTTCTGGCCCGCGTCTGGATACAGTTCAGCATGTGACCACCTCGAACACAGGTCCATCCCAGGTCGGTTCATGCCGGTGCAGACCGTCGAGGCACGCTTGGGCCGACGCGAGCAGACCCCGGGCCCACCTTGCATTCTCGTGCGAGGTCTGGGTCCCAATTCTGCGCGCCACAGAGACTCCAGGACGTGTTGCAAAGCAGCCTTGTCCTGGCTTCTTTTGTGTCTAACTCCTGGCTGCAGTGTCGTGGCGCCAGTGTAGGAGCGCAACGCGGCAGATAATGCACACACATCTCTGTGGTATCTGACAGCCGCTTGAGGAAACAACCTTAATGTTTCAAGACGGGGCTGATGCCATGAGTGTGCTCGATAGGTCACGCATGGCCTGTCCTGCTTTCTGTGCGTGAGTCTCTTGCCCAGCAGTCGATCTGTTTCTGGCCCGCGTCTGGATACAGTTCAGCATGTGACCACCTCGAACACAGGTCCATCCCAGGTCGGTTCATGCCGGTGCAGACCGTCGAGGCACGCTCGGGCCGACGCGAGCAGACCCCGGGCCCACCTTGCATTCTCGTGCGAGGCATTCGGGTGCCTTTCGGAGGCCTCCTGGAGGGCTCTCGGGGGCCTCTTTGGGGCCTCTCGGGGGCCTCTGGGCTGGCCTCCAGGGGGCCTGCTGGCGGTCTCCGGGGTCATCTTTGGGAGGGCTCGAACTGCCATTTCGTGTTCTGGTTCCTGGGGATGGTTCGTGGGGCCAGATTTTTGGGGTTGTCTTGGGGTCCTCTTGGGGGCACTTCTCTCTATCTTGCAGACCTCTTGTGCCGTCCTGGGGCCTTCTTTGACGTCTTTGACCGAAGTTGCCGAAAGCGAGGCAAACTGGCCCAAGATCGCCTCAAATCGTGCAAGGGGGGCGCATTCTGACCTGGGACACTGGGACCCCCCCAGGGCCCCCCCGAGCCCCCCCCAGCCCCCCCTCCGGGGACCGCTCTGGCGGATCAAAGGGGAGGGGTTCACCCTTCTGCTCGATTACGACCTGGCTCGATTCGTTCTGGCGAGGTTGAAGAACTTCTGGCGAGGTTGAAGAGTCAAAGGGCGTCTCCTGGGACGGAGACTGCCCCATGTCTGCCCCCCCCCCACACAAGCGCCGGCAGGGTCGGTGGATTTCATCCTGAGGCTGATGCCACGATTGTGGTCAATTGGTTATTGGTCTGTCTTGCCCCTGGAGTGGTTGATGTCTGGCGCATCTATCGCTCTCCTGCTCAAGGGCGTGCGGCTACCTCTTGAGCACAGACCCCTTTTAGATCGCTTCACGCATCGAGGCCCGCTTGGACGACGCGGGCAGACCCCCGAGCCAACCTTGCATTCTCGTGCTAGGTCGGGGTGGCAACTCTTCGCGCCACAGCTGCTCCAGGCCGTATTGCAAAGCAGCCTTGTCCCGTATTGCAAAGCGGCCTTGTCCCGGGCTCTCGTGTGTCCAGTTCCTGGGTGCATACATGCCACATCTCAGCGGCGCCTACAAGGGGGTGTTGCCGCTGACAGGGGCTCAAAGAAGGCCAAGCCCCGCCGTCCTCTCAGAAGGCCGCCCCCCCTCGCATGACCCCCTTCTAGGCGCCGCCAATCGTGGTCTCATGTGCCCTGGTTCCAGCGTCAGAGTCGTGGGGTTGCCTGCTCGGGCCCACTCCACTTCGCATCACCAGTGCGCTCGAGGAACAAGCAGTGACAGAAACACAAGCGTTCGGAGGTCCGCGCGGATTTCTTCGATCGGCGCTGGACCCCCCTTCCTGGAGGGCGGAGCGCGCCAGGGGCGGCGCCGGAGGCGCCGCCAGGGGGCTCCAGCGCCGATCCTTGAAGTCCGCGCGGGCCTCCGGGAGCTCGTGTTGATGTCACTGCTCGTTCCCCCGAGGGCACGGCCTGCGCTCACAGTGCTGGGCCAGCCAGGCGGGGCTCGCGCTTCGCTGCCTGCGTTGCAGAGCAGGGGCGCCCTCCCTCCAGGGCGGCGCGCGGCCCGCAGAGCTGGGCGACCGAGGCAGGGCCCATTTCGATGCGGTCGATTCGCTGCGGTTTGCTCGGATTCGATGCCGGCTCGGTGCGAAGTCTCTGTGGACTGGACGGGGTGGGCATCGACGAGCACCGCCGGCTGTTCAGGAATCGGAGGGCACGGCCACCAGTGGAGCGGGGCGAGGTCATGACCCGAGCCCGAGCCAAATCGCCCCCCCCTCCCTCGGAGGAGTGGTCCGAGTTCACCACCGTGGAGGAGGCGCGCGGGGAAGCCGCCGCCGCCTTCCCCCCCCCGCCCCCTATCGGGCCCGCGGGGCCTGGGGCCCTCCGCCCCGAGAGCTCGGCGGCCCGCCCTGGCCCCGGCGTGGTCAGGCATCGGCGGCTCTGCTCCGTGGCATCGCTCGGACGTGTGTATTTTTCCTCGGCGAGAGCCATCGAGGACCAGCATCCTGGGCCATCGAGCAACAAAAACACGCGCGAAACCGAACAATGCACGGGAGAGGGACGTCCGAGCGACGGCAAGGCTCCCCCCTGCTGCTCCTGCGCCCCGGAGGAGGGCGGGTCCGGGAGGGTCAGGCCGTCGGCCGTTCCCGTCTGTTTTCGGCGGTCGTCCAGCCTCGGGGTGCTCCCAGATTGCGAGGGCCTCATGGCAGGTGCCGCCGACCCCGAAGGCGGGAGCTCCCCCAGGACCCCCGTTGGCGACCCCCCCGGACTGGGGTGGTCCCCATGCCCCCTTGTCCACAGGAAGTAGGCGAGGGGAGGGATCCTGAGCTCCTGAGTCCCTTGCCCAGCAGTCGATTTGTTTCTGGCCCTCGTCTGGATACAGTTCAGCATGGGACCACCTCGAACACAGGTCCATCCCAGGTCGGTTCATGCCGGTGCAGACCGTCGAGGCACGCTTGGGCCGACGCGAGCAGACCCCGGGCCCACCTTGCGTTCTCGTGCGAGGTCTGGGTCCCAATTCTGCGCGCCACAGAGACTCTTGGACGTGTTGCAAAGCAGCCTTGTCCTGGCTTCTTCTGTGTCTAACTCCTGGCTGCAGTGTCGTGGCGCCAGTGTAGGAGCGCAACGCGGCAGATGATGCACACACATCTCTGTGGTATCTGACAGTCGCTTGAGGAAACAACCTTAATGTTTCAAGACGGGGCTGATGCCATGAGTGTGCTCGATAGGTCGACGCATGGCCTGTCCTGCTTTCTGTGCGTGAGTCTCTTGCCCAGCAGTCGATCTGTTTCTGGCCCGCGTCTGGATACAGTTCAGCCTCGATCCACCTCGACACAGTCCTCCCTAGGCGAGTCCCCCCGCTGGTCAGATCGTCGAGGCGACTTGGGCCGACGCGAGCAGACCCCCGGGCCCACCTTGCATGGCGTGCGAGGTCCTGGGTCCAATTCTGCGCGGCACAGATAACTCCAGGACTTGTTGCAAAGCAGCCCTTGTCCTTGCTTCTTTTGTGTCTAACTCCTGGCTGCAGTGTCGTGGCGCAGGGGTAAGGAGCGCAAGCGGCAGATGAATGCACACACATCTCTGTGGTATCTGACAGTCCGCTTGAGAACAACCTAATGTTTTCAAGACGAGGTCACGCATGGCCTGTCCTACTTTTCTGTGCGTGAGTCTCTTTGCCCGCAGTCGATCTGTTTTCTGGCCTCCTTCTGGATACAGTTCAGCATGTTACCACCTCGAACAAAGGTCCACTTCCGATCTGTTCATGCCGGTGCAGACTCGGGGTCGGGCAACGCTTGGGCCGACGCGAGCAGACCCCGGGCCCACCTTGCATTCTCGTGCGAGGTCTGGGTCCCAATTCTGCGCGCCACAGAGTCTCCAGGACGTGTTGCAAAGCAGCCTTGTCCTGGCTTCTTTTGTGTCTAACTCCTGGCTGCAGTGTCGTGGCGCCAGTGTAGGAGCGCAAAGCGGCAGATGATGCACACACATCTCTGTGGTATCTGACAGCCGCTTGAGGAAACAACCTTAATGTTTCAAGACGGGGCTGATGCCATGAGTGTGCTCGATAGGTCAACGCATGGCCTGTCCTACTTTCTGTGCGTGAGTCTCTTGCCCAGCAGTCGATCTGTTTCTGGCCCGCGTCTGGATACAGTTCAGCATGTGACCACCTCGAACACAGGTCCATCCCAGGTCGGTTCATGCCGGTGCAGACCGTCGAGGCACGCTTGGGCCGACGCGAGCAGACCCCGGGCCCACCTTGCATTCTCGTGCGAGGTCTGGGTCCCAATTCTGCGCGCCACAGAGACTCCAGGACGTGTTGCGAAGCAGCCTTGTCCTGGCTTCTTTTGTGTCTAACTCCTGGCTGCAGTGTCGTGGCGCCAGTGTAGGAGCGCAAAGCGGCAGATGATGCACACACATCTCTGTGGTATCTGACAGCCGCTTGAGGAAAAAAACTTAAGGTTTCAAGACGGGTTGATGCCATGAGTGTGCTCGATAGGTCAACGCATGGCCTGTCCTGCTTTCTGTGCGTGAGTCTCTTGCCCAGCAGTCGATCTGTTCCTGGCCCGCGTCTGGATACAGTTCAGCATGTGACCACCTCGAACACAGGTCCATCCCAGGTCGGTTCATGCCGGTGCAGATCGTCGAGGCACGCTTGGGCCGACGCGAGCAGACCCCGGGCCCACCTTGCATTCTCGTGCGAGGTCTGGGTCCCAATTCTGCGCGCCACAGAGACTCCAGGACGTGTTGCAAAGCAGCCTTGTCCTGGCTTCTTTTGTGTCTAACTCCTGGCTGCAGTGTCGTGGCGCCAGTGTAGGAGCGCAAAGCGGCAGATGATGCACACACATCTCTGTTGTATCTGACGCGTGTGAGGAAAACAACCTAAGTTTCAATTGACGGGGCTGATGCCATGAGTGTGCTAGATATCAACGCTTATGGCCTGTCTTACTTTCTGTGGCGTGGTCTCTGTCCCCAGCAGTCATCTGTTTCTCGGCGCGCGTACTCTGGATACAGTTCAGCATGTGTGACCACCTCGAAACACCAGGTCCCATCAGGTCGTTTCATGCGGGAGACCGTCGTGGCACGCTTGGGCCGACGCGAGCAGACCCCGGGCCCACTTTGCATTCTCGTGCGAGGTCTGGGTCCCAATTCTGCGCGCCACAGAGACTCCAGGACGTGTTGCAAAGCAGCCTTGTCCTGGCTTCTTTTGTGTCTAACTCCTGGCTGCAGTGTCGTGGCGCCAGTGTAGGAGCGCAAAGCGGCAGATGATGCACACACATCTGTGTGGTATTCGACAGCCGCTTGAGGAAACAACCTTAATGTTTCAAGACGGGGCTGATGCCATGAGTGTGCTCGATAGGTCAACGCATGGCCTGTCCTGTTTTCTGTGCGTGAGTCTCTTGCCCAGCAGTCGATCTGTTTCTGGCCCGCGTCTGGATACAGTTCAGCATGTGACCACCTCGAACACAGGTCCATCCCAGGTCGGTTCATGCCGGTGCAGACCGTCGAGGCACGCTTGGGCCGACGCGAGCAGACCCCGGGCCCACCTTGCATTCTCGTGCGAGGTCTGGGTCCCAATTCTGCGCGCCACAGAGACTCCAGGACGTGTTGCAAAGCAGCCTTGTCCTGGCTTCTTTTGTGTCTAACTCCTGGCTGCAGTGTCGTGGCGCCAGTGTAGGAGCGCAAAGCGGCAGATGATGCACACACATCTCTGTGGTATAATTTTTCTTTTTTTTTTTCTTTTTATCTTTTTTGGATTTATTTTTGACTTGAAGCCGCTTTTTTTTTTTTTTCACTCTCTTCTTTTTGTTTTTGAGGAAACCACCCTTTTTTTTTTTTTTTTTTTTTTTTTTTTTTTTTTTTTTTTTTTTTTTTTTCTTTTTTTTTTTTTTTGTTTAAGTTTCAAGACGGGGATGGCTGATGCCATGAGTGTGCTCGATAGGTCAAAGCATGGCCTGTCCCTGCTTCTGTGCGTGAGATCTCCTTGCCAGCAGTCGATTCTGTGTTCTCGGCCCGCGTTGGCTACAATTCAGAATGTGACCACTCGAACACAGGGCCATCCCAGGTCGGTTTCATGCCGGTGCAGACCGTCGAGGCACGCTGGGCCCGACCGCGATCAGACCCGGGCCCACCCTTGCATTCTCGTGCGAGGTCGTGGGTCCCAATTTGCGCGCCACAGAAGACTCTTGGACGTGTTGCAAAGCAGCCTTGTCCTGGCTTCTATTGTGTCTAACTCCTGGCTGCAGTGTCGTGGCGCCAGTGTAGGAGCGCAAAGCGGCAGATGATGCACACACATCTCTGTGGTATCTGACAGCCGCTTGAGGAAACAACCTTAATGTTTCAAGACGGGGCTGATGCCATGAGTGTGCTCGATAGGTCGACGCATGGCCTGTCCTGCTTTCTGTGCGTGAGTCCCTTGCCCAGCAGTCGATTTGTTTCTGGCCGGCGTCTGGATACAGTTCAGCATGGGACCACCTCGAACACAGGTCCATCCCAGGTCGGTTCATGCCGGTGCAGACCGTCGAGGCACGCTTGGGCCGACGCGAGCAGACCCCGGGCCCACCTTGC